TCTTCCTTTCTTGATGTTGTTTTGTAAAATTGTATTTTTCCCCCTTTCCTTTCTTGATGCTGTTTTGTAAAACACCGAGCATTTTGTTCTACAATCTAGTAGGGCAGCGAATGCGTGAGTGATTTAGGGCAATTACATTCTGGATTTTTATTTTTTTGGGGAGTTGTTGGATTTTTTTTTTTAGTTTTGTTTTATAATCACTGACATTGGCACCCGAAGTCTCTTGGCTGGGAAAGCGGCTTGTCTCAGCCACCCAAAAGGCACACAACCCACAGCCCTGAACTGAGTTCGAATTGTGCCCCAGGCATTCGGACCAAATACATTTAGCAAGATAGAAACAAGTCCTTGACTTACGACAAAGAATCGGGAACTGGGATTTCTGTTGTTAAGCGAGGCGAATCGTGCCCGCTTCTCCGACCTTCTTTGCCATGGCTGTGAAGCAAATTGCTGCAGTTGTTAAGTGAAACATGTCATTAAATGAATCCAGCTCCCTTCGTTGACTTTTTTTTTTTTTAATTTGATTTATATGCCGCCCTTCTCCGGAGACTCAGGGCGGCTTACAATGCGCTAAACAATAGCCTTCATCCTTTTGTATATTTATACAGTTTATTGCCCCCACAACTGGGTCCTCAATTTACCTACCTTTGAAAGGATGGAAGGCTGAGTCGACCTTGAGCCTGGTGAGATTCGAACCTGCAGTAATTGCAGGCAGCTGGTCTTAATAACAGGGTGCTTTAGACCACTGTACTACCAAGACTTTACTTGTCGGAAGCCTGCTGGCAAGATCACAAATGGCGATCAGCGTACCCCGGGATGCTACAACCTTTATCAGTACCTGTCCTGTTGCCAAGCACCTGAATTTTGATGACAGAGGTGCTGCGACAGTCGTAGGTATGGGGACCAGTCGCAAGTCAAGGCAGCTAACATATCTAGCACAAACTTCCTCCTCTTGTTTTCCCCACAATAACAGCCCTGTGCAGTGGATTGGGTTGACCGAATAGAATAGAATAACAGAGGGACCTTGGAAGTCATCTAGTCCAACCCCGCACCCAAGCAGGAGACCCTACTACACCGTTTCTGACAGATGGCAGTCCAGTCTCTTCTTGAAAGCTTCCAGTGATGAAGCTCCCACAACTTCTGAAGGCAACTTCTGTTCCATGGGTTGATTGTTCTTACTGTAGGAGATTCTTCATTATTTCTAGGTTGAATCTCTCCTTGTTCAGTTTCCATCCATTATTCCTTATCTGGCCTTCAGGTGCCTTGGAGAATAGCTTGACATAGCCTCAAGTATTGGAAGATGCTCTCCTGTCTCCCCTGGTCTTTCTCTTCACTAGACCAGCCATGCCCAGTTCCTGCAACCGTTCATCATATGTTTTAGCCTCCAGTCCCCTCATCATCCTGGTTGCTCTTCTCTGCACTTTTTCTAGAGTCTCAACATCTTTTTTTATAGTGTGGTGACCAAAACTGGATGCAGGATTCTAGTGAGAGACAGAGACAGAGTAACTGGCCCAATTATTATACTTAATAATAAGACGAAGAGTTGAAGAATGACAATAAGATGCAATTCCTTCTGCATTAAAAGCCCCCACCTGTCCTGGTGTTGATTAAACGTCACCTCCTTAAAGATTTCCACTTTCCCTTCCTATCTGGCCTTAGAGTAGCTGCTGAGTGCTTTGATAAATGACTTTTCCCACACCTTGTCTTCCGCTTCAATCCTGCCTCTCTGCTTTCCTGCAGAGCAATTAGAACAAAGAGTGAAAAAAAGAAAGTAGAGAGGAAGAAAGAACAAACACGGGGCATTTAAGCTCTCTGAGCCTGAGAAAAAAACCTCCGAAGAGGCAGAGAACAGATGCTTTCGATTCTTCATTAGGCCAGAATTTCTCCACTTCGGCAACTTAAAGACCGGTGGACTTCAACTCCCAGAATTCCCCAGCCAACATGTTTTTGAAGTTCATGCGCCTTAAAATTGCTGAAGTTGAGAAAAAGGTTGCATAATTAATCTCCTGTTTTCCTTCTGCAGACCCACAGAACAGAGGTGGTATTCAGCCGGTTCGGTCAAACCGGTCTGAACTGGTTCAGGCAAACTGGTCCAAACCGGTTCGGTCAAACCGGTCTGAACCAGTAGCAGAAACCCACCCTGGCTCTATGCCATTCTACTTAGGCACATTTTTGAAGCCGGGTGCATGTGTGGAAGGCGTGTGAGTGAGCTAAGCGCATGTGCACATGCGTGAACGGGACGCATTCATGTTTGCGAACCGGTAGGGAAACAGAAGCGTATATTGTCAAAGGCTAGCTGTGTAAGGCTATGTTAGGAAATAATAATCAGGAAGGTGGTAACTATTTTTCCAACCGTTCGAATTCACAACGGCGCCGAAAAAAGTGACTTAGGATCATATTTCACACTTACGACCGTTGCAGCATCCCCGTGGTCACATGATCAAAATTCAGAGGCTTGGCCACCGATTCATATTTACGACGGTTGCCATGTCCCAAGGATGCTGTGATTCCCGCCCCTCCGTCTTTTACAGTCTTCTGACTAGCAAAGTCAACGAGGAAACCCAGATTCACTTAACAACCAGGTTACTAATTTAACATTTGCAAGGGACTCACTTGACAAGTGTGGCCAGAATGGTCATCAAGTAGGGCCAACCTCGCTTAACAACGGTCTCTCACTTAGCGACAGACTGTTAAGTCAAGGGGTTCCTGTGGATTCGTTTTATCTTGGTTTGAGGATGGGGGAGGGGCTTTGAAATCCGCTGGCCTCTTAATTCAACAATATTGACATGCAAAGCCTTCACTTGATGTTGTTGCGAGCTTTAATGGGGCGAGAAAGATGCCAAAAAAACATCCCTGCTGAAGTAACAATCGTAATTGATTTTCCTCGCTCTCCAATTTCACAAAATAATCTGTCAATGTTGACGATGAGCTCTTCCTCTCAATCGCTTCCTGCTGCTTTTTAAACTCCACACGAGATCATAAATCAAGAAATCATCTTGATTTTCCATCAGGATCAAGTGTTTGGCTTCCCGTTCTTTTTCAACCTTTAAAAAAAAAAAGCAAAAACATTTTCTACAGTAAATATACATTTTTATTTTGGCATGGTTTTTTTAGGAGGCTTAAAATACATCCAATACATCCAGAAGCCTCTTCCTGTCACCTAGGAACCAGTATTCCTGCAAGATGCAACAGCATTTGGGGATAATTTAAAAAAAAACAACAAAATCTCAATATTTTATGCCCCCTGCTTTTGAATTGTGCAAAAATGAAGGCGCCGAGATGCATCTCGGTAAATCAAACTGCATTGCTGTCTCTGGAAGCTGCCCCCATGGTTGCGCCAGGACAGCAAAAAGCCACTGACATTTAAACGCATAGGTTTTTTTGGATCAACTCCCACGTTTTTCTAAATAAAACCGAATCCACGAGATAAAAATCTGAGCCTCTCGCTCGCCTCTCAAGTGCCTGAAGTGTACAAAAAAAAAAAAAATCACAAGAACTCAGGAGCTGAAGACAAAATTGAAATCGTTCTCCGCAGAAAAGCCACCAAAGGTGCATCCTCACCCCTCCCTACGTCCCGGCTCAGCTCCACGCGGGGCCAAAAGGACAAGGAAATATACAGGTAGTCCTTGACTTATGACCACCATGGAGCCTAACATTTCTGTCGCTAAGCGAGACAGTGAATTTCGGCTCCGTTTTACGACCTTTCCTGCCAGTTGCTAAGCGAAGCGCTGCAGTTAAGTTAGTAAAATGTTTGCTAAGTGAAATCTGTCTTCCCTGTTGACTTTGCTTGTCAAGAGTGGCTGTGGCTTCCGGCGTCCCGATATAGTCAGTTGGTGCCATTTCTGACTATTAGGGGCGAGTCGTTGGCCCCCACAGAGAGGGCTCGCAATTTGGGCGTCCTCCTGGATGCACGGCTGTCTTTAGAAGAGCACTTGATGGCTGTGGCCAGGGGGGCTTTTTATCAGGTTCGCCTGATTCGCCAGTTGCGTCCCTTTCTGGATCGGGACTCCTTACGCACGGTCACTCATGCCCTCGTCACTTCCCGCCTGGACTACTGCAATGCTCTCCGCATGGGGCTCCCCTTGAAGAGCACCCGGAGGCTCCAACTGGTCCAGAATGCGGCCGCGCGGGTGATTATGGGAGCGTCATGGCTTTTATGTGCATATTCTTTCTAGCCAGGTTTTAACTATGTAAGCTAAGATGTTCTACAGCCCTACGTAAGCTAAGAACATCTTAGCTTAACATAGGTAAAACCATATATATGTTTTCTCAGGTTTTCGCGGGTGTTTGTATGTAGGTCTTTGGTTATTCGGGTCTTCTCCCACGTAAAATTGGAAGTGTCTTTTCGACGTTTCGACGAAGTCTCATTCGTCATCTTCAGGCTGGTGTTCTCGGCTTCGTGCTTCCAGGAAGACCAAGAACACCAGCCTGAAGATGACGAATGAGACTTCATCGAAACGTCGAAACGTCGCCAAGACACTTCCAATTTTATGTGGGAGAAGACCCGAATAACCAAAGACCTACATACAAAATATATATATATATATATATATATATATATATATAATCTCTATCTCTAATCTATCATACCTATCTCTACCTATCATCTATCAATCATCTACCTCTCTCTATATATTTCAATTTTATATTGATTTATTTTATATATGTGTGTGTTTTTAATTGCCGTCCCTCTGGGAGTGAGATGGGCAGCCTCAAAACTTCACAAAGAAATAGGCTGCAGTCTGATTTCTACTTCCCCAAACCCAAGGAAGGAGGGAAATTACCCATTCAAATAAAGAAGGGGGGGAGGGAAAAAAAATGAAATAAACGCAGCCTTAACTCCGGCGCCGCCCACGCCTTCTGCCCAAGCGCCGCCCGCCGGCCCCTGTATTTATACCCCCCTCTCGGCCACGCCCCCTACCCCACGCGCCAATCAGGAAGGCGGGACGGGCGAGGCGTCTTGACTACCGCGGGGAGGCTCCGCCCCCTTTTCCCTCCGCTCCCCCCCCCGCCCTTCTCGCCGTCGCTGCGCCGTCTGAAACCGTTGCAAATCCGTGCAATTCTCGCTCCGAAGCGGGTTCCGGGCCGATCCTGACCCGGGTTAGCCCGCCTCATCTAAAGGCCGGTGCCAAGCCCGGTTTCTGCAATCCGGCGGCCTCCCCCCCCCCCCACCCGCCAAGGGCCATGGCCGAAGTGCACGTCATTGGCCAGATCGTGGGAGCCAGTGGATTCCCCAGCAGTTCCTTGTTTTGCAAATGGGGGATCCACACAGGTGTGTGCGGGGGTGGGGGTGGGGGGAGGCGGGGGGTCTCTCTGTGGTGGGGGGGCACACAGGTGGGGAGCATCCTGGGGAGGGGAAAGGTGCAGCCCTTGTGAGTTTTGGGAGGGGGGGGTCCCCGCTTGCAGCCCCCCTCCCCAAGAAAGGGAGGGCTGGTTATTCAGTGGGGAAGGGAAACGCTAGATTCAGGCAGGGCGGGATATCCTGGCTTGGATGGGAGACCACCAGGAAAGGCCCCTTTGGGGAGCTAAAAGGCCCCCCCAAGAAAAGAGCCCCTTGCCCCTTACTATGCTGGACTTGGATGGGAGACCACCAGGAAAGGCCCTTTTGGGAGCTAAAAGGCACCCAGAAAAGAGACCCTTATTCCTTAATATCCTGGACTTGGATGGGAGACCACCAGGAAAGGCCCCCTTTGGGGAACTGAAAGGCCCCCAAGAAAGAGACCCTTACTCCTTAATATTCTGGACTTGGATGGGAGACCACCAGGAAAGGCCCCCTTTGGGGAACTGAAAGGCACCCCCAAGAAAGAGACCCTTATTCCTTAATATTCTGGACTTGGATGGGAGACCACCAGGAAAGGCCCTTTTGGGGAGCTAAAAGGCACCCCAAGAAAAGAGACCCTTACTCCTTAATATCCTGGACTTGGATGGGAGACCACCAGGAAAGGCCCCTTTGGGGAACTGAAAGGCACCCCCAAGAAAAGAGACCCTTATTCCTTAATATTCTGGACTTGGATGGGAGACCACCAGGAAAGGCCCCTTTGGGAACTGAAAGGCACCCCCAAGAAAAGAGACTCTTACTCCTTAATATCTGGACTTGGATGGGAGACCACCAGGAAAGGCCCCCTTTGGGGAACTGAAAGGCACCCCAAGAAAAGAGCCTTACTCCTTAATATCTGGACTTGGATGGGAGACCACCAGAAAGGCCCCCTTTGGGGAACTCAAAGGCACCCCAAGAAAAGAGACCCTTACTCCTTAATATTCTGGCTTGGATGGAGACCACCAGGAAAGGCCCCCTTTGGGGAACTGAAAGGCACCCCTAAGAAAAGAGACTCTTACTCCTTAATATCCTGGACTTGGATGGGAGACCACCCATCCAGGGAAAGGCCCTTTTGGGGGGGGCTAAGGGCAACTCTTATTCTTGTATTGCGATCAAGAGATCCACAACTTGGTGAATGAAAGCGCGGGGGCGGACTGAAGACCTCTGAGGTCCCCTCCAATGCTGGAGCAGGGCAGGGTATGCAGGCATCCTGGACTTGGATGGGAGACACACAGGAAAGGCCTTTTGGGGAGCTAAAAGGCACCCAAGAAAAGAGACCCTTATTCCTTAATATCCTGGACTTGGATGGGAGACCACCAGGAAAGGCCCTTGGGGGGGCTGAAGGGCAACTCTTACTCTTGTATTGCGATCAAGACATCCACAACTTGTTGAATGAAAGCTTGGGGGGGGGGCTGGACTAGAAGACCTCTGAGGTCCCCTCCAATGCTGGAAGCAGGGCAGGGTATGCAGGCATCCTGGACTTGGATGGGAGACCACCAGGAAAGGCCCCTCTGGGGAGCTGAAAGGCACCCCCAAGAAAAGAGCCCCTTTCTCTTTTCCTGTGATCAAGAGATCTGCAACACGGTGAACGAAAGCAGTGTGTGGGGGGGGGGGCCGGATGGGGGTTGGACTAGAAGACCTCCGAGGTCCCCCTCCAACTCTGTTATTCTTAAAGGCTAAGATTGCCAAAAGAAAAAGGAACGGCTTGTGGGGATCCTTGTTGCTCTCTTTAACGACCGCTGGGTGCCTCTCTCAGGGGGAGCCTGGAAACTGCTGTCGGGTCTTCGGGAAGGGCAGACCCAGGTTGACCATCCCCAGATAGACGACGTGGCTTATTGGTGCCACCCCATCGATGTCCACTTCGCCACCAAAGGCCTGCAAGGTAAGGAGGAGGGAGTGGGAGGGGAGAGTGATATATATTTATATATTTCTGGATGGCCGTGGCTGATAGCCGGGAATGACATCCTGGTTATCCTGTTTCCCCGAAAATAAGACCTCTCCCCGGATAATAAGCCCAATCGGGCTTTTGAGCGCATGCGCTAAAATAAGCCCCTTCCCCCCCAAATATTTAACTGCGTGCATAGCCAGTCCCAGGCATTTCCTCTGGTTAGGGTTAGGGAGACAGAGATGGAAATCAGGTAAGATGGCAAGAGGAGCCCCTGTCTTGCTCCACACGCGCCCCAAAATTTATTTTATTTATTTATTTATTAGTCATATTTCTATGCCGCCCACTCTCCGAGGACTCTGGAAGGCATAATAATAATAATCGAAAATAAGGCCAAGCGTTTATTTCGGGGTTCAAAAAAAATATAAGACAGGGTCTTATTTTCGGGGAAACACGGTACTTGCGAGCCAGTTTGGTCGGGGGATTGAGGTGCCAAGCTAGAAACCAGGAGACTGGGAGTTCTAGTCCCGCCTTAGGAAGGAAAAGCCAGCTGGGTGATTTTGGGTCTTTCACCAGGAGACTGGGATTTCTAGGCCCGCCTTAGGAAGGAAGCCAGCTGGTGACTTTGGGTCTTTCACCAGGAGACTGGGAGTTCTAGTCCCGCCTTAGGAAGGAAAAGCCAGCTGGGTGACTTTGGGTCTTTCACCAGGAGACTGGGAGTTCTAGTCCCGCCTTAGGAAGGAAAGCCATTTGGATGACTTTGGGTCTTTCACCAGGAGACTGGGAGTTCTAGTCCTGCCTTAGGAAGGAAAAGCCAGCTGGGTGACTTTGGGTCTTTCACCAGGAGACTGGGAGTTCTAGTCCCGCCTTAGGAAGGAAAATCAGCTGGGTGATTTTGGGTCTTTCACCAGGAGACTGGGAGTTCTAGTCCCGCCTTAGGAAGGGAAGCCAGCTGGGTGACTTTGGCTCTTTCACCAGGAGACTGGGAGTTCTAGTCCCACTTTAGGCAGGAGAGCCTGGGGGGGACCTTGGGCCAGTCCTTCCCCCTCAGCCCAACCTACCTCTTAGGGCTGTTGTTGTGAGGAAAATAGGAGGAGGAAAGTGTGTAGGATTTGTTTGCTGCCTTGAGTTATTTGTAAAAATAATAAAAGCAGGATACAAATTTTTTAAAAAATATCCCAATGGCATCATCGAAGTATGGGTGCTCTTTTTCAGTACATGGCTTCAGAAAAAGTCCCAAAAGGGGGTATATAGAAAGCCCCCCCCCTCCTTTTGGAATTCAAAGGTAGACTGCGCTGGCACAGAGAGGCCCCATTTTCCCCCCCTCCCCCTTCAAAGGCCCTTCCATCATTCCGTTATTAATTCCAGGCATCCAGGTGGCATCGGATCCCTGAAGTTAGTAGCGGCCATTCGTAATGGTTTTATTTATTAGGTGCTTAATACGAAGCGCGGCACAGGCGTGGAATAAAACAACCGATGCAATAAATATTGCAAAGGGATTATAAATCGGGAGGCAAGCAGCTTCCAAATTAAGTTTCTCAGCGTGAGCCCAATGGCAAAAGCTGTTTGTCTTTGGGGGAGTTTGATTTTGAAGCTGCACAAGGCAGGTTTAGAAAAAAAGGGGGCCCGGGCCTTTCCTTGGACATCTGGAGTCAAAAAAAATGACTTTTTTTGACTCTTCCTTTCAACAGATGAATAAAAAACCGCCTAGTTTTCTTCCTAGCTGAATGGACAATGCACAATAATTAAAACTGGCCTCCGCAGTCCCCTTTATTTGTTCGGGGACGTCGTGCTTGGGGAAGATGATACATTTTGTGCCAGTGAATCAAAAAAAACCCCTAAAATTGGTTCTAATTATCAAAGAGGAACCGGACTAGAAATGGGAAAGGGAGAAGACGGGGAGATTTGTCAAAAAGTTAATAAAGAGTTGAAATACTAAAAAGGGCAAGAGATGACGGATAGAGACATAATACCTCTCAATAGGGGAATTGCTTCATTAGGGATTAGAAAAAGAGCCTAGATAGTTCAACAGACAGAGCTCTGTAATTTAACACCAGCTGCCTGCAATTATTGTAAGTTCGAATCTCACCAGGCTCAAGGTTGACTCAGCCTTCTATCCTTTCTAAGGTAGATAAATTGAGGACCCAGTTTGTGGGGGCAATAAGCTGACTTTGTATGAATACACAAAAGGATGAAGGCTATTGCTTAGCGCATTGTAAACCGCCCTGAGTCTCCGGAGAAGGGCGGCATATAAATCAAATTAAAAAAAAAAAAAGAGGTAGAAAGTAGAAATTTGGGGAAATAACTACTCTGTGTACTGCTACATAATGGACTACATTTTAACTACAATGTATACGTAAATGTTCCAAGTTGAAAGGTTATTATTATGTATACTTAAAACAGTATTATCATTGTTAGTTAGTTAGTTAGTTAGTTTATTATATTTATATACCGCCCCCTCTCCCGAGGGACTCGGGGCGGTGAACAGCCAGCAAATAAAATACACAGATACAAAATTTAAAACAATATTAAAATCCAATTAATTGTTATTAGTATTGTCTGTAAAGTAAACTGAACAAGACGATGCACTGTTCACCAAGCACTCGTGTATGTCAAAGAAAAAACTAAATATTTTTTTTTTAAAAAAATGGTCCTAATTATGAAAGAGGAGCTGAACGAGAAATGGGAAGGGGAGAGGACGGGGGTGGGCCCAAGGAAATTTGGCTGAGAAGACAGAAGAAGCCGAAGTTGTCGCTGAATGGCCCGTGGATGGGGGTCATTATGGTTTTTGTTGTTATCAGCCACTGCTTGTCTTGAACTTCTGCCTTGAAGTGGTTGAACCAGGGTTTCTCAGCTTTAACCACTTTAAGACAGGTGGACTACAATTCCCAGACTTCCCCAGTCACCATGGTGCCTCCCTCCCTCCCTTCGTTCCTTTCTTCCCTCCCTCCCTCTTCCTTCCTTCCTTCCTCCTTTCTTCCCTCTCTCCCTCCTTCCCTCCCTCTCCTTTTCCTTCCACCTTCCTTCCCTCCCTCCTTTTCCTCCCTTCCTCCCTCCCTCCCTCCTTTTTCTTCCTTCCTTCCCTCCCTCCTTTTCCTCCCTCCCTCCCTCCCTCCCTTCTTTTTCTTCCTTCCTTCCCTCCCTCCTTTCCTTCTTTCCTTCCCTCCCTCCCTCTTTTACCTTCCTACTTCTCTCCCTCCCTCTTCCTTCCTTTGTTCCTTCCCTCCCTCCCTCTTCCTTCCCTTCCTCCCTCCCTCCTTTTCCTTCTTTCCTTCCACCTTCCCTCCCTCCCTCCCTCCTTTTCATCTCTTCCTCCCTCCCTCCTTTCCTTCCTTCCTTCCCTCCCTCCCTCCTTTTCCTTCCTTCCTTCTTCCTTTCCTCCCTCCCTTGTTTTCCTTCCTTCCTCCTTCCTTCCCTCTTTTTCCTTCCTCCTTCCCTCCCTCCCTCTTCCTTCCTTTGTTCCTTCCTTCCCTCACTCTTCCTTCCTTCGTTCCTCCCCTCCCTCCGTTTTCCTTCCTCCTTCCCTCCCTCCCTCTTCCTTCCTTCCTCCTTCCCTCCCTCCGTCCCACATTTTCCTCCCTCCTTTTCCTTCCTTCCTTCCCTCCTTCCTTCCTTCCTTGAATTTCTAAGCCACCCATCCCATCAATACGGCAATTGTCAGCAACTTACAACATAATAAAAGTTCAAGCGTGCTTTAAAAAGCCATCAAAATCAGAATAAAAAAAGTTTACAATTAAAAACCGACATGACGGGCAGTCTGTTTTTTTTTTTCTCGTTCTCCGGCAGGCTGGCCCAAGCTCCACATCCAGGTGTGGCACCAGGATGCTTTTGGGCGCATCGAACTGTACGGCTACGGCTTCTGCCACGTGCCCTCCAGCCCCGGCTTCCACCAGCTGGACTGCGTCACCTGGCGCCCGCTGGGCTCTTGGCAGGAGCAGCTGTCCCAGTGTTTTGTGGGAGGGGGCCCTCAGCTCATCAGCAGCAACCTGATCTACACGGGGGCCGACCGCTACCGCCTGCAGACCTGCGCCATGGGCACCGTGCATTTCCAGCTGGCTGTGTTGCTCCGTAACTTTGACCGCTATGGGGTGGAATGCTGAAGCACTAAGATGGGCTTGGAGGTGGAAGAGGGGGTCCGTAAATCTCCAAAGTTCAGGAATTGGAAGGACTTGGGGCGAAAGGGAGGCTCTGGGAAGGAAGATTCCCTACACCACCACCCTGTGTGAACTGTTAGAATCACAAGCCATCACTCCGAACTTTGCAACCCAAATGGGGATTCGTCGTTGGGCCCTGGATTTGTTTTCTCCCTCCTGATTTCTCTTCCTCTAGCGCAGTGTTTCTCAACCTTAGGAGCGTAGATAGGTGGACTTCAACTCCCAGAATCCCCCAGCCAGCAGCGCTGGCTGGGGGATTCTGGGAGTTGAAGTCCACCCATCTTCAAGCTTCCAAGGTTGAGAAACACTGCTCTAATGGCAGATTTCAACTTTGGTGATGGTGCTTCTTTCAATCCCGCCTGGTTCAATTTTCTTGAGCAGAATTTGGCCGGATCCATCCAAGCGGGGAGCCTCGCTCGGCCTGGGTGTTTTATTTCTTCTGTTTTATCAAGGAAGGAAAAAAATATCTATTTTCTCATGAACTTTTTAATCAGTTTTCTGTGGTTTGTTTGTTTTTTTAAACCCGCTCCTAATGAAAATACCAGCGATAACTCCATAAACAATGATCCTGGGCCTGGTTTTGTGATGTAGGATAGAAGGTGGGGCTGCAATTTATTTATTTTTTTCCCAAACTTGTCAACTTTTAAGATCTGTGGATTTCAGTTCCCAGAATTCCATTAGCTGGCTGGGGAATTCTGGGAACTGCAGTCCAGACCTCTTAAAGGAGCTGAGTTCGGCACTGCGGTGACAAAGCTTACCTTTTTTTTTTTTGAGATAAATGAAAATTACCAGATTTAATACCCTAAATTTGGTCTTATCCAAGATGCTAAGAGAGTTGTAATTCCGGCTGTGGTCAGCAGAGGTCGCCAAAGCTGTAGTTTTGGCCAAATAAATTGCTTTTTTTTTTTTTTTTTGGCTAGAACTACCATTGCAATTATAATTTCTTACGCAAAGTTAGCTTACATTCTTGTTGCTCGAAGTATTAAATCTGGTAATCCTCATTTATCCGAGACAAAGAGACAAGCTTGGTTACAAGCTGATTTTTTTATCTGTTCCTTTCTGGTTAAATTTCTAACCTGTCCTGACCTCAAAAAAACATGGGCAGCTTCACAAGGCAAAAACCGCAACACGATGCATAAAACAATAACACAATATCATATAAAAACACCAACTGGCGTGAGGAGGGAACCACAAAGCATCACGTTCTCCGTCCCTCGCCACTAAAAAGAGACCAATCCAACCAACAGACTATAATTCCAATCCCAGGGGGAAATAAACAGGTTTTTAAAGATGGTTTAAAGCTAGATTAAATAGGGGATGTTGTTCTAAAAAGCAGATGGGAAGGTAGCATTATTGCCCACGTGAGGCCCAACCATCAACCCAAAAGCTGGTTACAAGTTTTATTTTTATCCTGCCTGTTTTAAACAGCCCGGCCCACCTGACAGGATTGTTGTGAGGAAAATAGGAGGAAGGAATATTGGATGTGTTTGTCACCTTAAAAGTCATATATGAAAGAAGGAAGAAAAATCTAAATTGGGGCCCAACCATCAACCCCAAAACTGGTTACAAGTTTTATTTTATTTCTATCCTGCCCGCCTGACAGGGTTGTTGTGAGGAAAATAGGAGGAAGGAATATTGGATGTGTTCCATAAATCATATACGAAAGGGATAAAATCTAAAGTGCCAATTTCCTTTGGCTTTCCTTTCCAACGACGTTTCCCAATCTTGACAACTTTCAAAAGGTATGGACTCCAACTCCCAGAATTCCCTAGCCAGTGGGTTGGGGAATTCTGGGAGTTGAAGTCCATACCTCTTTAAAAAGTTGTCAGGATTGGGAAACACTGCTTTGCAAATCTACGCTAGTCGTTAAACATTAAGGATTGGCAGTCCAGTTTCTTTTTCATCATGGAAACCGGGAATGAAGAGTCGTTGAATGAGGCAGTCGCTAAACGAGCACCTGCCTCTCGGCCATAAAAGCCTGCTTTCCAATTTTTTCCTCCAGCTATTTCGGCCACTGTACGGATCCGGGAAATCATCTCTATCCGAGAGGCATGTTTTTACGGTATATAATTCAATTTTTTGACCGACGATCTGGTCTCCAGGAGTTTTCCTCCTCAGCTTTTGTGTGTCTCAGTGGGAAAAAGCAACACAACACAATGCAGGGTGTGTTTTGTGTGCCTCTTGCTGCCTTAGGACAAAAAGTCCGCGCTGACCTGCTACCCATAGCGTTGCGAAGTTAACGCAACACTAGTCCAGCAGCTCTTTATGGAATCTCCCACTGGGAAAATTTACAAAGAAGGGAAGATTTACGGGGCACGACGACTGTAGAAAGGCTTATTCCATCATTCATATATTGTGTTTTGTGTGGTTGTGTGTGTGTGGTTGTGTGTGGATCATAGCCAAATCCACACGTCCCCAGCGGCTGAGTTAATACAAGGGGTGAACATGACCAGTCCAGAAAAAGAAAAAAAAAATGGTACAGATAGTTCTCGATTTATGACAGTTCACTTAGTGACCGTTTGAAGTTACAACGCCACTGGAAAAAGTGACTTATGACCGTTTTTCACACTTAGCGACCGTGGCAGCGTTCCCCCCCCCCACGGTCACCCGATCAAAATTCAGACTCATGACGGTTGCATTGTCCTGGAGGTCGTGTGATTTCCCCACCCCCTCTCTCCTTTTGCGGCCTGCTGACAAGCCTGGGGAAAGCCAGATTCGCTTAAAAACCATGTGACTAACTGAACGACTGCAGCGATTCACTTAATAACGGCAGCAGGAAAATACGTAAAATGGGGGGGGAATTCACTCAACTGTCTCGCTTAGCAACAATGTCGGGCTCAATTGTGGTTGTAAGTTGAGGAGTACTTGTATGTGTGACTTGAAAATGGGAGAGAGAAAGAATATATATTCCATTCCATTCCATTATATTATTATATTATATTATATTATATTATATTATATTATATTATATTATATATATTATATTATATTATATTATATTATATTATATTATATTATATTATATTAATCATATTATATTATATTATCAGAGGTCTTCAAACTTGGCAGCTTTAAGACTTGTGGACTTCAACTCCCAGAATTCTCCAGCCAGCTATGCTTGAAGTTCACAAGTCTTAAAACTGCCAAGTTTGAAGACCTCTGATATATATAATTATACTATACTATATAAGAATAGCATAGAATAGAATAGAATAGAATAGAATAGAATAGAATAGAATAACAAAGTTGGAAGGGACCTTGGAGGTCCTCTAGTCAACCCCCTCCTCAGGCAGGAAACCCTGCACCAGTGATGGCTAACCCTTTTGCTGTCGCATGCCAAAAGTGGGGGGAGCATGAGGGGGGTCACACTTGCGTGTGCCCACACCCATAATTCAATGCGCCCTGACCCCCCCATGCATGCGTGCGTGACCGCCCCAGCACAACTCCCGCTTTTGGCATGTGATGGCCCGGTAGGCCCGTTTTTCGCCCTCCCCAGGCTCCAGAAGCTTTCTTGGAGCCTGGGGAGGACAAAAACAGCCTTCCCCATCCCACCCGGAGGCCGGAAACAGTCCGTTTCCCGATTTCCGGTGGGCCCAGAAGGCCTGAAAAATCAGCTGGCTGGCGTATGTGGATGCAACGCTTGCATGCCCACAGATATGACTATGTGTGCCACCTGTGGCACGCGTGCCATAGGATTGCCCTCACGGCCCTATAGGATTTCGGAAAAACGCTTGTCCGATCGCCTTCCTTAGCGAGTTGCCCTGCAACAAGTTCCTGAACCTGCAGCCGAAAATTGGCTCTCGCCACGGATAACATGGTTGGGATGCATTCGGGGGCGTAACTCAACCCCAAAGCCCCCTTTTTACCCCCTGACGCAGCTGCTCCGAAATAGCTCCAGCGACGGCTGGAACGGCCCTCCGGCTTGGCATGTGGCGAAGCATCTTCTCGGATCAGGCTCTGCGGCATGGAAGGGTGGGGTATGAATTGACTGTCCGGTGAACTTCAGCTTTCTCTCTTAAGAAAGACGCGGCTTGAAATATCTGGGGACAGGGAGAAGCTACGAAACTGGGCCCCAGGGGAACCTGGATCGTAAGCCAGGAAACTCGGTTTGAACCGAGAAGAGTCGATGGAGCTTTTTTTCGCCCGTGTCGTGATTTTTGTAAAAAGGGTTTTGGTTTGAAAGCAGCATTGCTTCTCTCTCTCTCTCTTTTTTTTTTAGCTCTGGTTTCTCCCTGCCTTGGAATGGAGGGTTTCCCTGGGCCACGATCCATGTGGATCTCCTATCCATAGGCTTCCGGGCTCCAATGTCCATTCAACCCATAAGCTACCTCGACCCACCTCGTTCTCCGCTTCCATCTACCATGAAGGTATGGCTTTTAAAGGGGAGAGGTCAGTCTGAAAAGACAGAATGCAGAATAACAGAGTTTTAAGGGACCTTGGAGGTCTTCTAGTCCAACCCTCTTTGAACAGGAGATCCTATGCCATTCAGGACAAGTGACTGAGCTTGCTTTCTTTCTCTCTCTCCCTCCCTCCCTCTTTTTCTTTTATTCTTTTTCTCTCTCTCACCCTTCTTTCTTTCTTGCTGTCTTTCCTTTTGTCTATTTCATTCATTTGCTCTCTTCTTTCTTTCTTTATTTCTCTCTCTCTCTTTTTCCCTTTTTCTTTTATTCTTTTTCTCTCTCAGCCTTCTTTCTTTTTCTTTCTTTCTCTTTCTCCCTCTTTTATTCTTTCTCTCTCTCACCTTTCTATCTTTCTTTCTCTCCCTCCCTCCTTTTTCTTTTATTCTTTTTCTCTCACCCTTCTTTCTATCTTCCTCTTTCTTTCTTTCTTTCTTTCTTTCTTTTTCTTTCTTTCTTTCTTTCCTTTTGTCTATTTCATTCATTTGCTCTCTCTTTTCTTTCTTTCTCTCTCTCTTTCTCCCTCTTCTTTTATTCTTTTTCTCTCTCAGCCTTCTTTCTCTCTTTCTTTCTGTCTCTCTTTCTCCCTCTTTTATTCTTTCTCTCTCTCTCACCCTTTCTTTCTCTCTCTTTCTTTCTCTCTCTTTCTTTCTCTCTCTTTTATTCTTTTTCTCTCTCACCCTTCTTTCTATCTTTCTTTCTTTTCTTTCTTTCTTTCACTCTTCCTCCCTCCCTCCCTCCCTCTTTCTCTTTTTCCCTTTCCTTTCCTTCTTTTCTTTTTTCTTTTCTTTCCAGAGTAACTGTCCAGCACTCTCTTCCCCGAGCGCAGAGTTATATACAGCACAGTACTTTCCCTCCACTTCCTGGGTGGAGCCCGTGCCGGGGAGAGGCAAAGGAAAAAAAAAGAAGAGAGAGAGGCTTTATAAACCTCCAAGCTCAGGCGGTCAGCAAGTCCCGACAAGAGTGGTGAAATTACAGTCCTTCCCGCAGAGGGAGAAGACAGGAACGGGCCAGTTGGCTCCAGGGAAGGAGGAGAAGTGGTGGCATCTCCCAGGCCTGACCCTTCTGTCTTTGCCCCAACACCGCCTGCCTGCTTGCCAAGCTTGGCCACATTCCGGTGAAGATCCCAAAGGCCTCCTCCGGCTTCTGTGACAGCTTCTCACCCCTCAGCCCTTCCTGAAGCAAAGGCGAAAAGACTCCCTCTCCAGAGCAGGGGCACGGGAGCCCTCTGATCCGGTGCCAGGGGGCGAGTTTGAAGAGATGCAGCAGCATCCGGACCACATGGGCTCCGTCGGCGGTGCCAGGCAATAGCGTGAGTTCTCCGTCCCTTCTGGAACCCGGCTGCCTTGAAAGCTGAGCTGGTCGGGGCAGAGAGAACCTTGAAAGGGTGCATTTTCAAGTCCTTCGGCTGGACAGCGGCTGGGTGGCCAGACAGGACAGGCTAAGAAGAACGGAGAAGGTCGTCCTTTGAGCAGTTCAAGAGTTTCCTTGGCTGGCAAGGGAGGACTCTGAGCCACCAGTTCCTGCCAGCTGCAAGACGAGAGGAAACGGCACTACGATGGGGTCAAGGAGCTGCGACAGGCACCGGGGCTTTTTGGGGACACCGGGGGTCTCCTGTTCGCAGCAGCTCTTCCTTCTCCTCGTGGCCCTCCAGCAGTTTTGCTCTGTCTGGGCCTTCTCCACTTGCAAGACCTTGGACATGGACCTGATGAAGCGGAAGAGGATCGAAGCCATCCGGGGTCAGATCTTGAGCAAACTCAAACTTCCGAAACCCCCCGAAGTGGAAGACTCGGAGTCACAGATCCTCACCGAAGAGATCATGGCCCTCTACAACAGCACTTTGGAAGTCATCCGAGAAATGGTAGCCGAGGAACCAAAGGAAACTATTCATGAAGAATACTACGCCAAGCAAGTCCATCGGTTCATGATGATACCCATCGACAACGGTGAGTCCGGAGAGGGATGGGGAATGGTGGGGGTGTGGGGGGGGGTGGGGGGATCAAAGGGGCTAGGTTGGTTGGTTTGGTTGGGTGAATGGGTTGGTTTGTGATACCGTCCCTGGGTGCAGGCTGACCCAGATCCGGAAGGAAGACGGTGCTTCCTCCATTGATGGAGATAAAGTTAGGAGGAAGTATCTCGAGCAGCTTCAGTTCTCACGGTTGGAGGCCTTCAGTGGCCTTCGGAGAAGAAAAATCTAGTGTTTTGGGGGAGCCCCTTTTGAAAATCTGCTCCCCGATTTGTGAGTCAGAAAAAGGAGCGCTCAAATTCTGGAGGTTTGGACAGGTATGGAGCAAGGGTGGGTGTCCAACTTTGGGCAAGTTTAAGAGCTGTGGACTACAACTCCCAGAATTCCCCAGCCAGCTTGGGCAACTTTAAGACCTGTGGACTTCAACTCCCAGAATTCCCCAGCCAGCTTGGGAACTTTAAGACCTGTGGACTACAACTCCCAGAATTCCCCAGCCAGCTTGGCAACTTTAAGACCTGTGGACTTCAACTCCCATAATTCCCCAGCCAGCTTGGGAACTTTAAGACCTGTGGACTTCAACTCCCAGAATTCCCCAGCCAGCTTGGGAACTTTAAGACCTGTGGACTTCAACTCCCAGAATTCCCCAGCCAGCACAGCTTGAAGTCCACAGGTCTTAAAGTTCCCAAGATGGCTGGGGAATTCTGGGAATTGAAGTCCACAGGTCTTAAAGTTGCCAAGGTTGGAGAACACTGCCATAGACTGTCACCAGCTTTTCTGGACAGTTGTGGTGTAGAGTCTCCTGCTTGAGCAAGGGGCTGGACTAGAGGACCTCCAAGGTCCCTTCCACCTCTGTTCTTCTAGAAAAAGCCCTTTTGGTTCTTCTCAGACTTCGTAACATTTAAATATTCAATTTTCTTTCTCCCCCAAACTTTTTTTTTTTAAAGGGGGCTCATCGGATCTCTGTGCTAAGTTTCAGGAGGTGTTTTGAAAGTGGTGGGAAAAATCTTGAGGCGAGGAAGCCATCGATAAAGCCGAGAGTAGCGAAAATGCTGGCCCCCCCCCAAAAAAAGCAGCAGCGATTTCTATGAGCCAATGGCTCGTGTAGGTTAAGACAGTACAGGTCATCCTCCATTCTGAGATGTTGCTAAGCGAGGCGGTCATTGAGTGAGTCGTGCCCGGTTGTTAAGTGAATCCGGCCGGGATGAAGCGAATCTGGCTTCCTTTCACTGACTTTGCTTGTCGGAGCAATGCCGGCTGGGAAGGTTACAAGTAGGGATCACGTGACCATAGGGATGCTGCAATGGTCGTAAGTGTGAAAACCGGTCCTAAGTCATTTTTTTTTTCAATCCTGTTGTAACTTCGAACGGTCGCTAAATGAATTATTGTAAGTTTACTCTGGCTACCTGTAAATACTGGGAGTCCTCAACTTTTAAAACAATTCATTTAGCGACCGTTCAAAGTTACAAAGAAAAGTGACTTAGGACCGTGTTTCACACTTACGACCATTTCAGCATCACGTGATCAAATTTCAGACGCTCGGCAACTGACTCGTATTTATGACGGTTGCAGTGCCCTGGGGTCACGTAATCCTCTTTTGCGACTTTCTGACAAGCAAAGTCAATGGGGGAAGCCAGACTCACTTAACAACCGTGTTCCTAACTTAACAGGTGCCGTGATTCCCTTAACAACTGTGGCATGAAAGGTCGTAAAATGGGGCAAAACTCACTTAATAACTGTCTCGCTTAGCAACAGAAATTTTGGGTTCAATAATGGTCGTAAGTCAAGGACTACCAGTACAGTACAGTATAGTGCAGTTCAATACAGTTATACAATACAATACAGTTCATTTCATTTCAATTCAATTCATTTCATTTCAATTCAATTCAATTCAATACAAATAATACAATACAATACAGTTCAATACAAAACAATGCAAAACAATACAATACAATACAAGAAGTTCTCTGACCCCTTATGACTTTGCTGAGGCCAAAATCACATACTTGCATCCTGACATCACAATGCGAGTTCTATCCAGTTCGTATTGTATCATATTGAACAATACAGTTCAATACGATACGAGAATAGAATAGAATAGAATAGAATAGAATACAGTTCAGTTCAGTTCAGTTCAGTTCAATACAATACAATACAATACAATACAATACAATACAATACAATACAATACAATACAATACAATACAATACAATACAATATAATACAGTTCAATACAATACAGTACAGTACAATACAGTTTAGTTCAATACAATACAATGCAATGCAATGCAATATAGTTCAATACAATGCAATACAGTTCAATACAATACAATACAATACAGTTCAGTTCAATACAATACAATGCAATGCAATATAGTTCAATACAATACAATACAGTTCAATACAATACAATACAATACAGCTCAATACAATGCAATACAATACAATACAATTCAGTTCAATACAATACAATACAATACAATACAGGTAGTTCTCTGACCCCTTATGAGCTTGCTGATGCCAAAATCATACACCTGCATCCCAACATCCCAACGCAAGCTCTATCCTTTTGTTCCTGCATCACAACAACAACACCCCCCAAAACACGTCAGGGAGACTTTTGCGTTGCCGTGTCACGAAGTTGCCCGTCACACTACAAACCTCAGGTAACCTAACCCACCACCCCCACCACCCCAAAAAAATCTAGAGACAGTTTCTGGCAACTGAACGGGGCTTAACTTTTTTAAGCATCCTCTCTGAAGCCAGGCTGGCAGCCCGATGCCGAGTTTGAGAAACGTGCCGAGAGGAAAGAGGCAAGCTGCCCGCAGAGGAAAAATCCTCTTTTTAATCGCTTTGGCAGCAGGAGACGGTGATGAAGTCCCCGGGGCCTTTTCTCAAAAGGTGAAAATAAAACGGGGCCTCGCATTTCACTCCTGCAGCCCCAAAACTGTAGTTTCAGGAGTAAGATTTTTGTTTTTCTTTTGTTTTGAAAGTTTTGTTTTCAGAAGAGAGTGTAGAGGGCACATTCCGGAAGCTTTATCTTTATAATTCCTGTCTTCCTTTGGCATTTTTTTTTTTTCACACACATCCAGTGCCTGCATCCAATGCTACCTTTGTAGAAACTCTTTTAATGAACCCAAGTAAGACCTGGAAGAAAAGTTTTCTCTTTAAATTAAACGGATGTGTTTCTCTCTCTCTCTCTCTGTTTTTGCAACGTCAGCTTTGGCAGAGGGGAAGAGCGGTGGCGGGTGCAAACGGAGATTGGTTGGGCAAAACTCGAGGTCTTGCTTCCGGCGGTGAAATTGCTGGTCTCAAGGCACGATGCCCTCCCCCCCCCCCCCCCCCCCCCCGGCCCCCCCCTACCCCCCCCCCGGACCCCTTACGACCACAACGGCCTGAATGACACAGTTGTTCGGTGGCTTTTTTTTTTTTTTACAACTTTCCTTGCCAGCGTTTTTTAAGTGAATTCCCCCCGCAGTCACACCGTTGTTAAGTGGCTTCCCTTGCTGTCTTGGCTTTGCCAGAAGGTCGCAAAAGGGGATCGTGTGGACCCCGGGGACACGGCGACTGTCGCAAATATGAGTCAGTTGCTCAAAAGGTTTCAATTTTGATTGCAGGGGCTGCAAGTGTGGAAAACGATCGTAAGGTATTTTTTTCCGGTGCCGTTGTAACTTCAAACGGTCACTAAATGAACGGTTATAAGTCAAGGACTATCTGTGGCTGTAAGTCAAGGACTTATCTCCCCTTCTAAAATTGGTTGAGTGCTCCAAAAATCTCTGGTTCCCTTTTCTAGCTTGCCGGTGGTGGACTCACAGAGGACTAGCCGCATGAGCAGGCACTCAATTGCCTAACAATACCTCTTAAAATGGCCCAATTGAATTGAATTACAGAATAAGAGTTGGAAGGGACCTTAGAGGTCTTCTAGTCTAACCCACTGTTCAAGCAGGAAACCCTATAACATTCTGGATTTACACACGCAGAGGATTGCTTGGCACGGCCAGGCCGAAGCTGGCACCTTCTATTTTCAAATTCTGGCACTCCTATTTGTAGGGGAACCCTTAGCAGACCTTGGGAGCCAGAATTAACTAGGATGTTTTGTTCCTCTGAAGCTAAAAACACCAGAGCAGAGCAGGTGAGGGCAAGAAATAAGCTGGCAACCAGGTTTAATGTTGCCAAACCTTCACAAGCCATGTTTTGTGGCCACCACGTAATTCCTCCGGCTTGTCAGAAGAATAATTCGGGGTTCCGACTTGAGCTGGGGCTGCGCAAGAATAAATTTAAAAAATGCAATCCAGACAGCTGGGAGGAAAGAAGAAATATTTATTCCTAAAATGCAAAAAGAGTTTGACTTTAGGGGCACCTGCAGAGAAATGGGGTACAGAAACCGATTTTCATAGGGGAAATCTTATCCTGCTGTGGAAATGTCTACATGCAGATGTGACGCTTGAAGGGCGTGTATGTTTGTGTCTGCGTGTAGGTATGTCTACGGTGTTTATTCTTGCGAAGGTGCAGTTCCGCCAAAGAGACCGAATTTAATGAATTCTATTTCTGTTTGCAGACCTTATCCTTTGATATGTGGATTAGGTCCGGGCAACTTATACGGAAGTTTTGACAAAAGTTTGCTAATTTGAATTGATTAACCGAGTTTCCGCTTGACTGTCAATTTACCTACTGGAGACAAGGATTCACACGGTCACATTTTAAGGGGAAGTGGAAACGGTATAAAGACTAAAATATAGTTGGATATCAAACTTTCTCACGGGCTGCAAAAATTAGCATCCGGACTTCTCGGAACCGAGCGGGGAGAAGATGACACACGGGGCGGAGGGTGGGGGTGGGGGGGAAACAGAGTTTGCCGTAAAGACGGGGATCCCACCCAGATTGCAGCCAACTTGGTTCAAGGTGTAATTACCTGTTGGGTGTGGCTGGCATGCCGCCTAAACAAACCCACGGGCCCTCCAGGGGTAGGTGGCACCTTTGGT